TCTCCCGACTCAGTTGGACTCTTCAAGTGAGACTCAGGCACTTGTCACTACTCATAATCGTGGTGGTTCTTCTCGTGGACGACGACCTTCTTCTCGCCAACAAGGAGGCCGCAACCAACCTGTTCACAACAATCGCACCTCCTCATATAGAAAGCACATCCTAAATTTTGAGAGCCAGAGTCAGGAGTTTGAGGAGCTGTTTTGGTTTAAGCACTAAGCTCACCTATTTTTGGAATAGATCAAGTTCAGTCCCAGTAGCGAAGGTAGGCGCATAAGTTCATGGGGGAGCGAATACACTCGATCTGGGTATGTTGGCTAAGGAGCTGGGACTGGTGGTTATGGATCTGAAAATCACACTGAATCATTCAATTCTAAAGGGGTTTACAGAGTTCCAACAAAATAAATAGCGAAATAGAAGTTCCGCTCGTTGTGGCCTTGACACAGCGGGAAAGACATGGGCGAGGCGAATAAAGGACTCGAATAAAGGCGTAATCAAATCCTCCATAAATAGGAATTCTATGAAAAAAGCATCCCACACTCTTTCCGATGAATAAGATGCCAATGTTTAAGAAAAGAAGTCGGGTAGTAAATAGGCTAGTAGCTTTTCTCTTTTATATGTGATAGGGCTTAGATACGATACTATAATAGGGCTTTGGAGAACTCCTAGAATGGAATTCCCCTTATGTGAGATCCTAACTAGTACCAGTCTAACTAAGAGTCATCTGCTAGGCCAGCTTCCTGTGAGTAAGCCAGTGCTAAAGAATAGGGCTAAGGAACAAGCTCAAAATTCATTAGGATAGATGCAGTGCCAATTGTAGCGGTGAGTGCTAAGTACTTCGATTAATAGTTTGTAGGATTGCTAGAATAGGAATAGGCTTTTTATTTATAGTAATACTATTTTCTTTATGGCTTGCTTCTTTCGGCCAGCTGATGATCCTTAATTGACATCCTACTCTGTCCTAAAAGCCAATCCATTTGCAGAAAAAAGGTAACCTCCAGCCTGTGATTTTGAAAGTAGTATCTGTCCCTAGTGAGAAAGTCTTCACCAGCCCCAGGAGCTCTAATGCAACCTCCCTTTTTCTCGTCCATCCAGCCAGCCCTTGTAGCAGTACTTTCTAGCCGTAGTACAAGTTACTCTATGGACAGTAGCAGGAGAAGTCTCCTCCTTACCAGTGAAAGTAAAAGTTTAAGGTCAAACCTTTTTTTAGGTCCCTTTGAGCAAGGAGCGGGATAGATCGGCGGGAGAGAGACCTTTTTATAGCCGGTTATGTTCTAGGGTTCCTATAGTTCAAGCAATAAATTCTTATTTCATCCCTTACCTATTAGGCTAGCCAGTCCAGTCTTTGCCTACTCAAAATCAGTCTTTTCCCATCGAATAGCAAAAAAGAGAATTTATTTTTTCTGCCAGTCCTCAAAGCTAGTCATAAGCTCA